GGCTATTTGGGTCTGTAAATTTACCGAACACTAGCTGGCAAAGGAGCGTTGCCACGCGGGGAGGGGAAAATTCCCTCTAATTTTTTTTACAGTGTAGTTGATTGGACGATTAATTTCGTTTGCGAGTCGTCCATTGTGAATGTGTGTGGGACGGCTGCCCTCTGGGTCGCCGGGGCGACCCGGCGGCAGGTGTCGTGAAGTCGGACACTTCACTCTAAAACTCTTACAGAGAAAGGGTGTTTGTTCACCTTAGTAAAGTGAAGCGTGAAGCTTTTGCCTTTGTTCTTAATTTATCAAGAATCTGTGTTGTCACAATACGAACAGAGTTCGTAATTCGTGATCACCGGAAAAAAAAGGTGCTATCTAATTCCTTTTAAAGGTATTATTGAAATAGTGCATCTAGAAAGGTGCTACTGCCCACCAAAGGTGCTATTTTTGGCACAAATCGTGCCCCTACAAAGGCACTAGTGCAGTAGCACCCCTAAAAATTCAATAGCACCCTAAAAAGGGTGCTATATAACACCTTTGTTTTTCCAGTGATGCGAAGGACTTTTGCTTGTTTTCTGACAGTATGGAGATTCTTTATATTACGAAGAAATGCTTCATAATTCGAAAGCCGACGTTCCCAAAATTTTAAGGTTGTTCTCTGACTGGGCCTGCCGCCACCGTTCATACGCGTCTCGGCTTTCACGCTCTGCGACGCTCCCCTCAATGCCTTGATATCCGAGGTTTGTAGAATTTGCTTTAACTCGCAATTGTCGGTTGCCAGAACCAAAAAACCAAAGGTGGCACTTGATGACTTTTCAAGGGTGTTAAAATTAAATACCGTTTAGAAAGGTGCATAATTGTCTAAAGTTATTAAAAATTTAGTACCTTCGGTTAGTTTTGCTTTTCTATTCTAGGGGTGCTAACTTTTAATACCTTCGCACAGGTATTACAGTCCTGTTTCAACCTATCTTTTGTTTTTACAGTGGATGTATTAGCGGTTTTACCTACCGTACTCTCATCATCGTTGAGTTAGTAAGGTTATAGTGCGACCAGCCCCTCGTGGCGTACATACCTGTGTGACGGACGGACTGACGGATCAACGCTGAATCGTCCACGCGTGGATGGGTCGCGCCGGTATGTATGCCGAGGTGGTGGTTGGAACGGGTTGGGGGGG